TATATATATATGATGAATATATATATATATGATGAAAGCATGTTTTATCGTTATAACTAAATGCTTTGACTCCATTGATCATACTCTTCTCCTAACTAAATTAGAAAATTATGGCATCTAAGATACTGAAATCAAATGGTTTAGAAGTTATCTTTCACAGCGCAAACAAGTTAGTCAAATGTCAAAATAAACTATCTGAAAAAGAAAATGTTCAAATTTGGTAGTGTGTTAGAACCAACCTTATTTTCATTATTCATATGACCTCCACAATATGTGTCTCCAGGATCATGTAGCATAATTATATGCATCTACACTACTGACAAATCAGTAGAAAATATCAATATCAAATTACAATCAATAATAAATAATGTCACAAATTGGTATAAATTTAATAAATTACTTGTAAATTCTAGCAAAACCAAACTTATGTTAATTAAAAATAGAAATGTTCGCCCCTTTTCCTCTTTGAATATTTATGTTGGGAATGAAACCATTGATGAGGTAAAAAACATCCGTTATTTATGATTTTAAATTGATGAAAACCCTACATGGAATGACCATACTCGAAAATTAAATAAAAATATTGGGTACAAAATTAACATCCTAAATAAATTGGCAGAAACACTAAATAAATCTCTTCTAAATATTCTTTATAGAAGTACAATACAACCCTGTATGGACTATGCCATCTCAGTGTGGAGAACCACGTCTAACAAAAAAAAACCATTCTATTAAGGCTACAAAAACGAGCTGCTAGAATAGTTTAAAATAATTTTGATTTTATATATTTTCGTGGAATTGGTCTTATTAAGCAAAATAATTGGAAACTTTTGATGAACGTAGAGATTACGCCCTAGCTTGTTTAATGTACAAATGTATAAATGGTGTTGTACATTCCCGCTCATGTAATGATATACAAATGGTTGTTGACCGACAAGGATATTCTTCGAGATACGCTCACTCACTTAACGTTCCCCCCAATTCCAAATTGCTCTTTAATAAATGGCTCTTTAAAAATCTCTGGAGCAAAAGTTTGGAACAAAATACCAATCAAAATTCAAGAATGTCAATCTCTTAATTTATTCAAAATTTAAGAAACACTTTTTCTGATTATCACAATTCATTTCCTTTTATATTTTCTTGGTCTATATTTTTAACATTAGAACCCCGGCCCCGAAACTTTGACTCAGAAGTACCGGGATGGTGTCCGGCGGGGGATAGTTTTTACCATTGTTTAGTTAGGTTTGTAGTTAAGATACAAGTTGTGATCCCAGCCCCGAAACCTTGAATCAGAAATACCGGGATGGTGTCCGGCGGGGGATAGTTTTTACCATATTGTGGTTAAGTTATGTAGTTAAGCTTAACCTTGAGCGGTAATTCCTGGCCCCGAAACCTTGACTCAGAAGTACCGGGTTGGTGTCCGGAGGGGGTCAGTTTTTACCATATTGTGGTTAAGTTATGTAGTTAAGCTTAACCTTGAGCGGTAATTCCTGGCCCCGAAACATTGACTCAGAAGTACCGGGTTGGTGTCCGGCGGGGGATAGTTTTCCACCAAAGTTTTTACTATTGATTATTTTATTGTATTGTGCTGGTTTCGAACTTGTAACCTCTCATACCTACCACGGAGGCCTATAATATAATAAACGTGAGATCTAACCCCAGACAATTTTTTTTTTAACTAACTGAAACGCTCATACATAGTGGAGCGGTGGTTAAGTTAGAAAAGCAGGGAAATCATAGTATACAAATAGTGACTGCTAATGAGGGGAATGGTGAAATCTATTGCCCCGAGGTGATGTGGAGACCGAGTGAAGATAGGCTACGGTCTCCACATCACCGAGGGGTTTCACCGTTCCCCGAATCTAGAGCAGTCAATATTTGTTTACCACACACGTAGCTTCTACAAGGCCTAAAAACATATTTACTTCCGAGCCTAGCCTAAGAATAGGCCTACCTTAGGCCTTCTACGCAATTAAAGAGTGTGTCTAGCTCTTCTTGGTTCATTTCTTTCAATTTTAACAAATCAAGTTTGCTGCTGCGTAGACACAATATAAACAAATAGATAAATATTAATAACAGTGTTCGAAATAGAATAGGTTATATTATGTTATGTATACAGCCTGTTCTCATTCGAAACACACTGTTATTAATATTTATATACTTGTTTGTGTTTTGGTGCTATATATATAAT